GCAGCTCCCAGAGTTCAGTGTCTGGCTGTAGCTTTGGAAAACCTGGGGCCTTGCACAGAGCCCTTGAGAAAGGCAGGATTTCTTTCCAGGAATTGTGGAAAGGCAGCAGATATTGGGCTGTAATTTGCCAGGCAGGAATTCTGTATAGGAGATGCTGCCTTGAGAATCTCCAGCACCTCCAGGTGCTCCCAGGACCTGATCACTCTGAGGGGGTGAATTCTGTTCTTTCTTAGATTGAAGTGGCCTCTGACCATCAGAGCTGAGGCCCTGGGGACAAAGGGAAGCTTGTGTAGTTTTTAATTGATCTTTAGTTGTTTTGTGTGCTGCCCTGTTTTAATGACAGTAAGAATTAGTTTGGTGCCAGGGATTCCTGAGCAGCAGAGAGCTCCAGTCCAGGGGGATCAGGGTGGGAATTTGCCCAGGTGAGACCAAGTAGAAGGAATGGTTGAAAAATCAGAGTCCCATGAGATGCTGAACTAAAATCAGACTTTTGTCTAAATGTGCCAACAGATCCTTGTATTTTGAAGTGCGTGAATAAGTTGGTGACGTAAGGGTTCTTCTCCTTCCCACACTTATAAAAGTATTTTTAATATTCCAGTCAAGTCTGTAGTATTGGCACACAGGAGTACTGCATCTCCTTTTTTAAAAAACAAAAGAGTAATAAAAACTACTATTCAGTGAAATTAAGGGTATCTTTTGTGGTTTTTGAAAGATGTCAGATCTTAAAGATTTTCTGTTAGTCACTCACGTTTCAGCCAGCATGCTAAATGTTTTTAAAAATTTGTTACAAATAAATGTATTTAAGGGAACTATACTCATTAGTAGCAACACAGGCTGATGAAAGCTGCAAAGCCTTTTTTCCTTCAGTTTTGATTTTGTCTCATTTGCAGTTTTGTGTCTGTTAAAATAATGGAATAGGTGAGGTTTTGCTTCCTGTGATCCTGCACTATTGGATGTCAAACCTGATGGGGAGTAGTTAAATAAGTGGAGCTCAAAGCTCTTTTTTTCCGTTGCCTTTTTTTGCAAGTTTTCTTTCTTTTTTTATGCTTTTAAGCCATTCTGTTTTACCTCTGGCTGCAAAGTTCTGGCTGCAGACACGGCCAGCCCTGTGCCCTGCACAGATCCCAAAGCCCAGCCCGTGGGAATCGCGGGTACCTGCAGCCCTGGCAGGCCCGTGCTGTCCCCGTGCTGTCCCCGGGGCTGTCACCGCTGTCACCGCTGTTCCCCAGCCCCGTGACCCCGCTGGATTTGGTGGGTTTTGTGGGTTTTGTGGATTTGGTGTTTTCCCCAATGCGAAGCCGCCTCTCCCCCGGTTTCTGCCGTTGCCACGGTGACGATGCTCTCTGTGTGCTCGCAGCGAGGCGCTCAAGCTGGCAGCGGCTCACAAGTCCCAGCAGCTCGAGGCTCTGCAGGAGGAGAACGTGAAACTGGCCGAGGAGCTGGGCAGGAGCAGGGACGAGGTCTCGAGCCACCAGCACAAGGTAGAGCGGGCGGGGGAGCCCGGCGGGAGAGGAGCAGAGCGGGGCTGGGAGCGCTCAGGGATGGATGTGATGGATGTGGAAGCGCCTGCACCGGGAGGGAGGCAGTGCAGGCTGGCAGGAGGTTACATAAGCCGGGAGGGTGCTTGGGAAGGCTCGGGAATGAGCAGAAATGAAACGTGCTTTAGCCAAGTGTATTAACAGACAGCTGCTATTTCTGTCGGGAGTGATTTTGTTACACAACTGTGGAAATGTCCATCCACCACTAAGGAAATGAAGCTTTTTAATTCTGATTCCTGCTCTCCTCACTGAAAACAAAGAGGATTTAGGATGCATTTCAGAATACTGTGTAAAAGTGTTTGGTTGGGCTTGTGTCTGCTCAAACTTCACCCTGTGCTGCAGCCAGGCAGTGTGACCCAGGGAACAGAACCCCTGCAAGGTGTTTTACTGGTGGTATTAATTATTTTTACTTTTTACTATTATATCTGAACATGTTGTTGGAATCCTAAAATACGGGCAGGTTACTCAGCTTTGTGTCACTGGTACTTGCCAGAAGATGAAACAGATTTACAGCCCCTAATGTGGTGGGTTTGGTTTGTGTGAAGCAGTTGCAGTGACAGGCATGCTGTGAAGGAATCTGTGGAAGATTGTATCCAAAAGATCCAAAAGCAGGGATGCAGGAGACTGAGGTTTGTGTCCTGCCTTTCTGGAGAGCTCCTGTGCAGGGAGGGATCCTGTTCCCCTGACAGGGCACAGACTCTTCCACCCTGCAACAGGCTCAGTATTTTTAAAGCCAAGAGCTGATTTTTCACCAAGGATCCTGTTTGGAAGTCCTGAGATGGGTGACTCCAGCCCTGGCTAGTTTGTAAATCCCTTTAGCTGCTGGCAGGAGTGATGCTGAGGCTCCTTGGTCCTCAGGAGCCTTGGGAGGTGAGGAGCAGAGTCCCAGACGTGTGGGCTCAGCACTGACTCATTCCCCATCTGAGGAGCAGAGTGGGGAGGGCACATCCCCAACAGCCAGTGGGAGCTGCTCCCCACTCCCACAGGGTTTCCTAAATTATTTCAGAGTCCTTGAGGCAACCTGTTATTTTCAGAGAGAGTTGTAACTCCAGGGTTGGGCAGCATTGGTCAAATCTTCTGCTTTTTGTCACCCGGAGTGGCCCCGAGGGAGGGGCCCTGAGCCAGGGGCTGGCTGTTCCCTGCCTCCCTCTGTGCCTCCCTGGTTTGCAGCTGCCCTCGGGGAGGATTCCTGCTGGGAGCACCCTGCTGGCTGTGGGGCTGTGGGCAGGGATCCCTCTCACTGCCAGGACAGGCAGCTGCAGCGTGGGGAGCACAGGGATGGATCCAGCCCCTCACAAACTGCAGCTGTGTCAGCCCAGCCTGTCCTGCCCCTGAGGAGATGCTCCAGGAGCAAGGACCTGCTGGAGCTTGGCTGCACAGCCTGTTTGCCTTCTTCAGCCCTTTGTGTTGCACTGTGTCCCCTGCTGGAACGTGGGCTCTGCCTGTTGCAGTTCCCAAATGTTTTATTTGGGCTCTGGGACCTGGTGAACAGCTCAGCCTCCCAAAATCCTGGGAGAGGCCTTTGGTACCCAGCACCTCCCCTCTGCTGTCACACCATGCTCAGTGGCCACGGGCTTTGGGCTCCCTGGGTTCAGGAAAATGTCACCCCAAAGATTCCTCCAGGGGATTTGTGGTGTCCATGGGGGCACTGAAGGGTTTCCCAGAGCCCAGGAGCTCCCAGAAATGTGGGCAGTGGGAGGAGAGCAGAGCTCAGGCTGCAGAGGCTCCGTGCAGGTACCTGGGAATGCATCAGGAAGGGCAAACACAGGATTGGGAATTTGGAGCTGTTGCTGTGGTAACCACATAAATTCTAACAAGTGTGTTGTCAACTGGGTTAGACAATCTGTGGCTGCTTGTGACACACTTTGCAAATTTAATGAATTCTGTGTCATGAATGATTTATCTGGACATCTAAAGGTTAAAGTGTCTCATGCCAAAGATGCTGCTGGAGCTTTTCTGTATTGATCCATTAATAATTAGCTGATTGTAATTAGTTAAAGAGTCACATTCAGATACATACTGAGCTCGGGGAACTTTCCTAGCCTCAGATTATTTGTTGTGGCATTTTGGGACCTCAGACCTGCTCAGGCATTTGGAGTTCATTGGAGAAGGTGTAGAAATAGCCAGCAGCTCACCTGGCCCATCTTTTATTAACAGTGTGAAGGTCTGCTTTTTTTTCTGCAGGAAAAACTTGGCCATACCCCAGTAGTGCCTGGATGCTCTGCTCTCCCACACTGGGCACTTGGCTTGGGAGACACATCTTGATTGGCTTTAAGAATTATTTATAGAAAACTCTGTACACCCTTCTGGTATCTATCTTTTGTATCAATATCTATCAATAAAGTTGTGTGATTAATCCTGGTTGATCCCAGACCTGGAGGGTTTAGCAGCCCTGCAGCACAGGGAAGGAGAAGGTAACTTGTCAGGAAATGTGGAGGAGATGGCTGCTCTCACTGAGCTGCATTTAGCTGAGAGCTGGGGGCTGGCAGACACCCTGCCTGCTCAAGGAAACTTGGTTAACACCTTCTGTGCTGAACCTCAGGATCTGCAAAGTGCTGAAAGAATTCCCTGTGGCAGGGCCAGGAGTGTTGTCAGGGCCCTGGGGTTGCCGTTATAAATGGATGTGCTGCTGACCTCAAGGGTGAACCCTGCAAGTTGTGAAATCCCACTGGAGCCTGTGCTCGGGGAGTGCTGGTACACACAGTTCTCACTGCTGGCCTTTGAATAAGAATGAAGGAGGAGATGGTGAAAAATAATTAATTTGCCTGTAAAAGACTTTATTTTCTTAACTATTCCAGAAGATCACTTGCCCCAGTGTTTCTGTGTTGGGCCTTTGCAGTTTTGTTGCTTTGCATTTCCTAGCCCAGTTCAGCCTCAAGAACCAACAACAATGATTTCAGCTGAAGGCTTTGCAGGTTTTAAGAGTGGCCTCACTGAGTTGCAGGTTCAGGATGTGAACAAACACCAGACACCAGCTTTGGGATCAATAATTCATCTGTGAGTGACGGGGCAGGAACAAACCCGGGGCGGTGGCTCAGCAATCCAGCACAGAAAACCCAGCCCGTCCCCAGAGCGGGGCTGGGAGCTCTGGCCAGGCACACAGGGGGCTCCTGGGGGTCTGCAAATGTCCTTTAGCACTGGGGTCACCTCTGCTGCGTGCACAGGACATGGAAATGCTCACCAAGCACCCCCAGCCCTCACTAGCTGGTGTTTGGTTACTGAGCAGTTTGTGTTTGGGTGCAGGTGCTGTGCCAGCAGAGAATCTGCTGCTCTGAGGATCTGGGGGCTCTGCAGCCTCCCCCACTTTATTTTATGATAATGATGCTCTGATGTATCACACTAAGGAAACAATCTGGGGTGCATTAACTGGAGTCTGTCTGTGCTTGTGTTGTAGCTGGAAGAGGAGAGATCAGTACTCAATAACCAGTTACTAGAGATGAAAAAGAGGTAAGTTGTTCCTGCTGATGTGTGTTTAACCCCACAATCCTACAGAAATGGAACACAAAACACTGCCAAGAGCTGTTCTTTTCTGTTGTGTCATGGTTAAAAGTGCTGAGTTGTTGCACTCTTTGGATTAGAGATGGAAGAATCCACGTTTGCTTTAGTTCCACACCTCCCACATTGTGGTAATTCTTACTTGCAGTGACCAGTTGAATGTTTGGTTTTAGTGTGCTCTGGAATGTTGGATTGTCCCTCAGTCTGATAAAATGTGTGTGCACAGATCTGACCCAGTGAGCTCCTGACAAGTAAAGGACAATACAGTGATGCTGAGGGGTTATCAGAGGAAAAGGGAAAAGGAAAGAAAAGCTCCTGAGCACTTGCTGCTTTCATGGTTTCAGGCTGTTGGGTTCCCTGTGGGTTATTGCAGTTCATTCAGCACTGCTGCTGAATGCCAGGAGAATTGTGCTGGGAGTCTGGGGCATCCCTTTGTAAGCTGCTGCTCAGGGAAAGGCCCCAAGTGACAAATGTGAGTGTCTGCAGTGTGTGCCTGGGGAGCTGAGTGGCCCCTGTGCCTGCAGGGGCTTGCCAGAAGCAGTTACATAAATCCCTAGAGAACAGCACAGCTCCCCACGACCCCTCAGCTGCTCCAGGAACAGCAAACCAACCCTGCTGAACTTCCTGCATTCATAATGGCCACAACAAAGAACACTGAGTGGCTTTTGGGTGTTTATGGGCTCTCAGTATTGTCAGTGTTCCCTGCTCATTCCCTGACACTCTGGGGGTGTTCCCAGGCCAGTGATTCCCAGGGAGTGTCAGAGCTGGGTCAGCTGAGCCTCCAGCCTTGAGCAGCCCCACGAGCTGCATCACCAGCCTGTTACTGCACGTGTTTGAAAAAGTGTTTTCAGCAGTGACTGCTGGAGGTCACTTGAGGAGAGGAAGGAGGGAGTGGGCACCAATCATTCAATACTTGCAGCAGTTCTGTTTCACAGAGAACATTTTCAATGAAAAACTCTTTGTAAATTCAGCAGAGGAAGGTGTGGCTCTGATCTTCCTCCTCCTCCTGTTTGGCTCTGGGTGAGCTGCCTGAAATAATTCAGACAGTGCTTAAGTCAGTGAAGTGAATTTTACCTTGACTTTACCTTCAGTTGGTTACACTGAGGTGTCCAGTTTGTGACTGGGTTAATGACATTGCCCAGCAGTGTTGAATAAACTGCAATAAAAGAGAAAATGAGCAACAGGAAGTCTGGCTGAGGCAAACTGCAGGCACTGGGGCTCAGAACATGTCAACATGTGGCACCAGTGCTAATGAAAAAGGTTTGGCTGAATAAAGAGCTAATTAGGTAAAAATAATGAAAAAAGTCTCTGAATTCCCCAATTCCACAGAATTTGGTGATGGGAAGATGATAAATTTCCTCCTTTTGCCTTAAGAATTCGAGCTGCTGAACAAGAGCCATCTTTGTGTTTCAATTAGGTCAAATCTCTAGGGGTGGTTTTCTCACCTTCCTTCCAGCCCCGGGAATTCTGTCCCTGTGCTTTGGCATCCCCTGGTGTGCAGAGCTCCAGCTGGGAGTGCAGAGCTTGGTGTGGATGGAGGCTCAGCCTGGGGTTCAGTGTGGGTTGTGTCTGACTGTCTTTGAGCTTCGCTGTTTATGGATACTCATCTCATTCCTCTCTCTTCCCTTCCTGCCCTTGCTTCCCTTGCTATATCTGTGTGTCTTTAATGGTAAGACTCAAGAAAGTCTATCCACGTTACAATAAATAATTTCTTTTTTTTTTTTTTTAGTAAAGTTGTTGTACATATTTTGGCTGCCTTTGTCCCTTGGTGTCTTGCTTTTGTTTTGTAAAACACTCAGCTCTATATATACATATATATATATATATAAAATAAAAAAAAAATCTATATATTTTTTACCAAAACAGAAAAGGCCCTTGGTGCAAATATTGTTCTTCCTAAAGTATTTTGCATTTGTACTCCATGTTTCTAACATGTGGTTCTTGTTATCTTGCATTTTTAAAGCTTACCCAGTAGCACTTTAAGGTATTTGCTTCATTCTTAGAATTTCTTATTTTTGTAGTAAGGGAAGAATCTGGGTGATTTTTTTTAATGCTAATCCAAAACAAACCCCATTCTCCCACAGCTTCCACACACTGCTCAGAACATGGTTTAAGCTTCTCAAGAAAGTGAAGTTTTAAAATGGCATTTAAATGAAAAACTCATTTTTGTTGTTTTGATTTCCCCCCTGCTGGTAAGCAGATGTTTTGAACTTGAATTGGCAGGAAAAGAAAGTTCACTAAATCAATTTTTTTTTCCAATAAAATAGTTTCCACCAGGTTTCCCCTGCAAGCTCTGCCAGTGCAGTGATTTCCCATTCCCTGTGTGTGACTGCACTGCACACGATGCTCCAGGAGAGGAGTGCCCAGGAGGGATCCACGCTTGGGGCCCAGCACCTTCCTGGCTGCAGCTCCTCCGGTTCCGGCTTTTGGGTTCCCCCTGGAGCAGCTCCTGAGAGTCCCTCCAGGGAAAGGAAACCCAAAGCTCCAGCACAGAACCTTCCTCCCCTCTTGTTTTCTCTCCTCTTTTCTTCTCTCCTTTCTCTCCCCTTGTGTTTTAGCACTCGAGGCTCCTCTATTGAGTCTGTAAATATTTGATTTCTATCCTTACACCCTGTTTGCCTTTTTCAACCACCTCAGCGTTGTGCTGGTTGAAGCCGAGCCCAGCAAATGGCAAATCCACCACATTTGTGCCAAAAGCATCTGTTTGGTCCTGATCTCTCCATGAAGATCTGACCAAGTGGAAACATTGGCTGAATCACAAGCTCTTGAGCATGGGCTGAGTCACTGGGCTTCCATCTGCCCTCCCCAAGCTCGGCAGCGCTCGGGAGAACTCTCGGGTGCAGCAGAGCTCGTCAGCAGCAACTTCCAGCTGTGGTTCCCAGATTCCTCAGGGTTTTTCTGCAGCAGATCCTGGGTTTGCAGCTCTGCTCTGTCACAGCACCCGTGCCCTGGTGGCTCCTCCTTCCCCAGCACCTCGTGCCTGTGCTCCATGGACAGAGCGTGAGCAGCCGGGCAGGCAGAGCCTGGGCAGCCCTGTGGAGGACACAGAGGTGGCTCTGGGGCTCTGAGTGCTGGCCAGGGAACCTCTCCATGCTGTGCCCTTTTGGGTTTTATTAAATCTTTATTAAATCTTTGAAGGCAAGATCACACAGTCTGCAAGTTGTTGTGTTTCCACTTCTGTTGATTCTCTCATTGTAAAAATGTACCAAAACCAAATGAAATTTTGGTTCTTGTTTGGGAGCTGCCTCAGCTTTTCTAAACCCCAGATTCTCCACTTGCTGCTTCCATTCCCGAGTACAATCTGAACAATGAAAGAATTGCATTGATTGTGCTCTCATTGTTGGGTTTATCTCGAGTGGGTGAGATTTCCTGTGTTTCATGGTCTGGGTATCGTGGCTCTCACTAACTGTAGATAGCACAGGGATGGAAACTTTGCCATTTTTGCTCGATAGCTGTGCCCTGAGCATCCCCCCACGTGGGTGGGCTCTGCTCCTGATCCCTCAGCAGTGCTGGGGAGTGCAGAGCAGTTCAGAGTCCCTGCAGGAGCTCAGAGCTGATGCAGCACTGCTGCCTGCACTGCAGGGCCAGTTCCTCTTGCAGAAAAGTTAATGGTTTGAAGTCACTTCTTTGTTGTTTTCTTTTTTAACCAAAATCTTTCAGCTTGTAAGGAAATTTGTAGCAATGCTCCTCCCTTCAGAGGACAGTTACTCACTGTGTGTGTTCTGTGACCTGTCAGGAAGATCAGCTTGCACCAGTGTGGGGCTGTCACAGCAGTGGTGCCTTAAGGCAGGAGCTGTAGGCAGAAGTTTTATCTCTGTTAGATCCATGGGAAATATTGGGAAAACTGGATATATGTACACAGGAGACAGCTGTGCCTGCTTTGGAGGATTTCTTTTTAACCCTTCTCCCATGAAGTAAAACAAATCCCATTTTCTCCATGTGCAGGAAATGATGATGTCACTGACATTAGTGAGGACCAGCTGATATTTCCAGCCTCATCCATGCTTTGCATGACAACTCGTACAATGAGCTTTGCATGCCTGTTTTGTTGCTTGTTAGTAATTTTCAAGAAGTAACAAAACTCTCAAGTTAGGTTTTGTGGAAGATTGTGCAACATGTTTGTTTATCCTGTATCTCCCCAGTCTGTTAACTTGCTCCTTTAAATTCAAATGGATACGGTGCTATGCAGATTCTGGCATGTACTACCTAGGTAAAGTTTTTGCTTTGTTTCCACAGTTGTAACACCTGAAATGCTTGCACATATATAAAACTTTAGTCAAGCAGTAAATTGTAATTTGTTTTTTAAGAACCACTTCTTGCAGTAGTTTAATACTTGAAATTAAATGAAACTACTTTAGGCCACTACAGTTACCCATTCATTAGATGACTTCTGGTTTTACTTGGTTTTCTTCTAGAGAATCTACTTTAAAAAAAGAAATTGATGAAGAGAGAGCATCTTTACAGAAATCCATCAATGTCACTAGTGCCTTGATCACACAAAAAGATGAGGAACTGGAAAAACTCAGGCATGAGGTAAATGAGGAATGGATGATTCCTAATTTCAGTTAAGTTGCAGCCAGAGGCTTTGTGTGCTGGCTGATCATTTTTCTTTCACGTGGCATAGTTAAACCTCAGCATCTTCAGCTGCCTGTGCTGAGCCTGGTGGCTCCTGGCCCGTGGTTTTGTGGCTGTTCAGCCCTTGCTTCAAGGGCCCTGGCCTTGGTGCTGGAAGGTGCAAGTGTTGCCAAACAACTCTTGCAGATCACGGTGCTCCGCGGAGAAAACGCTTCTGCAAAAACCCTGCAGTCAGTGGTGAAGTCACTGGAGTCTGACAAACTGAAACTTGAGGAAAAGGTGAAGAACTTGGAGCAGAAACTCAAGGAAAGCAACGAGCAGCCTTTGACTGTAATGAGCCCCTCAGGTAAAGCGAGAGCCACCCCAGGGTCTGTGCCCTCAGGGCCTGTGCCGTTATTTCTGACTGAGCCGTGGTCACATTGTCCTTCTTTGGTTTGTTCCTTTAAAGGTGATGCTGTTACTCTGCTTCAGGAGGAGATTGCAAGAGAGAAGCAGGTACTGGATGTGCACATGGGCATGCTGAACCAGCAGTGGGCTGTAGGAGAGGGGGTGATTCCAAAGGCAGTCCTTACCGGGTTTTAATGGGCAGATTTATCTTGTAGCCCCTCAGCTTCTGAAGGGAAATGTCAGTGGCAGGAAATACTAACTCAGGTGATGAGTGATACAGAGAAACAAGGGAATGTGAGGAACAAGCAGGAAATGAGGGTGGCAAGTTGTGCCCTGCAGCCCAGCAGAGCACTCACTGCTCCTTGGCATTCCCAAAGGTTTCTTGGATGTGCATGAGGAAAAGCTGTGGCCCCCCTGAAGCTGGTGTTTGCCATCTTGGAGAAATGGGCTCCCTGAGCTCCTGGGTACCTCTGAGCTCTGCAGCTTTTCCTGACTGCAGAGCTGGACTCAGAACAAGGGTTGGCAGCAATGGAGAAGGTGCTCAGCTGGCACAGGGAGATGGGATTTGGAGTAGGACAGTCACAGTGACCTCAGGGGCCTGTGCCAAGAAATGCCTAGAAAATATGTTTGGAATAGAATCACCTTCTGCTCATGCTAAAGCCTTTGTTAGATCACAAGTGTCAGGCACAGTGATTAAAAATGTCCTTCCAGTTGTGTAGCCACCAGAAGTGTCATGAATACACACTAACCAGCAATCTTTTTCTGCTTTTCTGCTTCCCTGGATTCACCTGATGGCAACCCTTCCTTCCCCCAGGGCGAGGTTGGTTCCACTTCTTCCCCCCCCTGTTAATTTCCCAAGTGCTCCTCGGTCACATGGGGGAGGTGCCATCCCCTGCCCCTCTCACTGTCCTTGTCCTTGGCTCTCCTAGATCGACTTCCTGAACTCAGTGATAGTGGATCTGCAAAGGAGAAACGAAGAATTGAACTTGAAGATACAGAGAATGTGTGAAGCAGCCCTCAATGGCAATGAAGAGGAGATAAACAACTATGACAGGTACAGATCCTAAAGGAAACCTTGGCTCTTGTCTTAGGAATTGTTGGTAGAGCTGCTTGGCAGCTGCACGATGCTCCAGCCTGATCTCAGCTGTCAGGAGGGACAGACAGAGCTTTCCCTGAGTTCAGTGGTTGAATCCAGGGTTCTCTTTACACTGTGGTGTAACTGGGGTGCAGGTGGTGCTCTGTAGTTATCAGTGCCAAGCACTGATGTATGTCACATGTCTGTTGTATGACTTGCTGAATCTGGCCCTTTCCAAGTGCAGAAGAGTCTTTGGTCCCACAAGGCTGTGGCTGTGTTGGGATGGGAAGAACCAATCCTGAGAAATAACACTAAAACCCATTTGATGTTCAAACTTCAGCTCTCTTAAGGGAAAAGAGAAACTCTTTTACCTGTATTTCTTTTAAATGTCTGTGTGCAAATATTTGCACAAACAGCAGCTTGTTCAGTAAATGTGGGTGTAGGGGATGGAGGGGGCACTGCAGGGTGGTGGAGAAGGGTTTGGGTCCTGTTTTTCGAGGAGCTCTGTGGCGTTTCCTGAGTCTCAGAGAGCAGGAGCTCACTGCAGGGCCGCGGGCTTTGCTCCGGTGTGGCAGAGGCATTGACTGGTGCTGTGCCGCCCTTGCAGTGAGGAGGAGAGCCTGTCCAAGAAGAAGCCGCGTCTGTTCTGCGACATCTGCGGCTGCTTCGACCTGCACGACACCGAGGACTGCCCGACGCAGGCGCAGGCGCTGGAGGAGCCGCCGCACTCGGCGCACCACGGCAGCCGGCGGGAGGAGCGGCCCTACTGCGACACCTGCGAGGTGTTCGGCCACTGGACGGCCGAGTGCAACGACGACGAGACCTTCTAGGGGGGACAGCGCCCCCGGCCTCGCACCAGCAGCAGCCGCCTGTGCTGAATGTCAGGACAAGGGACAGACCCCGCTCCCTGCCCGCCCGCTCCGGAGTCCCTACGAGCATAAAGATTTGGATCTTCCACTAATAAATAGCCCCTGTCCCTTTTTAACAAACGTCAGTGAAAGATGAATAAATGATTTAATAAGTGATTTTATGCTGTTTCTTCCCAGGTTCTGGGTTTGTCCCACCCTTAACAGGAAATGCCCCAGTGCTGTTGGATCTATTGGTGGGAAAACATGTATAGGAATGAAGCACTAGAGTTATATTAAAGCTTATTTAAATACCTTAAAAATATGCTGTTAATTTTCATATTTGCACTAAACCATTTTAAGGCTGAATTTGTACATTTAGATTTTTAAGCTTTTTTTTGACACTGGACTGAGTTTGGAAATATTTCATCCTTATTTTCATTTACTCCTTTGGTTGCGATGTCGCTCGGTGCCGTGAGCTCTGGGTTGTGGTTTGGTGTGAAATGTGGAAGTGACGCAGGTAAGGAGCTGCTGGGGGTTTTGGAAACCTGTATGCTGTGCACACCTGTGCACACCTGGAACAGTTTGTGGGCAATCCCTGTTTTGCATTTTTTCAGCTTCTATATAGTGAGTGTGGTGTGTGTGTATATATGCATATATATAATAAAGTTATATTTTGGAAAAAAAAAAAAAGGTGTTTTCTTTTCTGCATTTCCATTCAGGGTGTGAGGGCTTTTGTATGGGGACAGATGTGCCCCAGGGCTGCACTGTAAATCACAGAATCTATCAACTGGGAAGAGACCTCTGAAACCAAATCTGACTCAACACCACCGTGTCAACAAGCCCAGGGTACTACTGAGTGCCACATCCAGTCCTTACTTAAATACCTCCAGGGACAGTGACTCCACTGCCTCCCTGGGCAATATTTAATCATCTTTGCAGTTAAGATTCCTCCTGATGTCCAACCTGAACCCCTTCTGGTGCAGCTTTAGGCCATTCCCTGTCCCTGTTCCCTGGAGTACAGCCTGAAACCCAGCTGTACCCTCCTGGCAGGGGCTGTGCAGAGCCAAAGGGCCCTCTGAGCTCCCTTTCTCCAGGCTCAGCCCCCTTCCAGCTCCCTCAG